AAAAGAATCTTAATAAATGGGATATTTCATATCATAATGGCAATAAGAATATTGAAATTGATGGTACTTTCCAAGACTCTATTTATATATTCAAATGTGAAAATTCAGCAGTTAAAGTTAATGGAAAGATCAATTGTATTTCAGTTGATGGATGTAAGAAACTTACTTTAATTTGTGATACCATTGTTTCATATGTTGAAGTTATTAATTGTAACTCAATTGATATTAGAGTTATTGAATTAACACCAACTGTCAACATTGATAAATCACAATCAGTTAATGTTCATTTGTCTGAAAAAGCTCTTGATGGTAATACTACTGTTAATACATCAAAATGTGATGCTGTTAACATTTCATTCCCTAATCCAGAGGATAAAGAAGATGAAGTTGAATATCCAATTCCAGAACAAATTTACACTATTGTTAAAGAGAATAAGTTATATCCTCAAATTTATTTCCATGATAAATCATCTTATTACTTCCCAAAATAAGTAATTCAATTTTTTGATCAAATTCTTTTTTATTATTCTTTTTTTTTCTTCTTTTTTATTTATGAAGATAGATTTAAATTCATTTTTTTATAAGTGTTAATAAGAAGTAGTTAAGAAGGATTATAACTCTTTTTTTAGTTTTATTGAATTTCTTTACATTCTTTTATTATTATTTGTGTTAAATCATTGTGTTTGTATGTATGAAATACACATTAATAACTATGAAAGTGTTTTGTTCATTTCTTTTTCATTGTTAAACTTATTGTTTTATTTTATTGATAGAATTATTTAATAGTATTAATCATTATTTATTGAATTAGTTGTTGAGTAATTTTGTTTTATTGATGCATTATATGATTTGTGGTTAGTGTGTTATTTAATCAACTTATTTTCTAATTGAGGATAATAAATAAATTGAAAGAATAAAAATATTATAATAACACTCATATCAATAACTCATTTTAAATTCTCTCTATTGTGTTTCAATGGTTTAACTATAACATTATATTACAATACTTATATTTTTTTTAATAATAACATAAATATACGTTTCTTTACAAAAACTTTAATAATAAACAATAAATCAATATATTAAACAAAACAACCAAATTACAAAGAGCCATTTTTGAACCAGTATATTTTTATCAACTGTTTTGATGATAAAACAGTTCTAACAGACATAGACAACAGTTACTGAATTAAATACAATTTATCTGAAATTATTATAAAAAATTACTTAATCAATCAATAAAAGGAAATGTTATAAAATAAATGATGTACATTTTTAAAGTTGATTAATGTCAATTTGCATAAAATAAATATTCAAAACAAAACTATTATTTTAGTTGAAGTTTACATAACCAATATCTTTATTTATGATAAATCATACACAAAACATTGAAATACTGTTATAATACTTTCTCTTCTCTTTATCATATCTTTATAAAAATAAAATATTTCATTTTATTTATAACTGTAAGAGTTTTATTTGCCACAGTACCAGATTAGGTAAAATGGTGTATAGGACTCTAAAAATTTTGCTTCTATCTGAAGTGATGATTATAAAATCATAACTTTTGAATAAAAGCTTATGTAATAATTGAGTTTTGTTGAGTTTTGATTTTAAATTAAATTTCGTTTCATCCTTATGAATTTTGACAGAGTAAATTAACTAAATACTAAACCAAAATTATTCTGTTACTTTGTTAGTATCAAGTATTTAACTAAATGGAATATGAATTGAATAAGATGCAAAATCACAATAATTATTTGTGGGTACGAAAATTAGCAAAGAAAAAATGCATCTAAATAATTTACAAAAAAGAAAAAAGATGCAAAAAAATTTGCATCCATAGAATATTCCATTTATTATATTTTGCTCCTAAATAAAAATAAAAAATAAAAAATATGATAAATACAGAATATATAAATATTTATGTTTATATTTTATAATCATTTCTATTCATTTTGTATGAAATATTAATGAAATAGATTATTTGATTATTCATATTCTTTTATTTATATGTTATTTATCTATCGTATTTTTATCTATCTTATTTTTATATATTTATTTCTCTGTTTATATTATTTATATCATTGTATTCTTCTTATTATCTATATATTATTATATTCGTGTTATTTTATTATTTTTATGTTTATATTATTTAGATTTTCTTCTTGTTATTCTTTATATTTAGATGTATTTGTTTATTTGTTTATTCATATTTTATATTCTTATCATTTATATCTATTTTCATTTTATATTTATTCTCTTTTGATTTATAATAATATTGATTTTATCTTTTATATTTTGATTTTATTATTATATCATTGACTATCATTTCTCGTTTTATTTATCATTTATTCTTATTATTCTTTTGTTTTTATAATCTATATCATATATTCATTTCATTTTCATTTATATTTTATCACTTATTATATGTTATAATAACATAACACATATGTTTGATTATATAATAAATATCATAATGAAGTTATACACATAAATAATAAACATAAAAAAGAGTAAAATATTTTTCATTAATAAAATATTGTTAATTATTTTAAATCATTAAATTAGACACTTTTATTGAATATTTCTAATTTTTACATTAAAAAATACACTTTTTATTTCTTCTTTTCATATTTTATTACCTCTTTGTGTTTTATTATTTTTATATTCTTCTTCTACTTTATTTTTATTCTTTTATAGATTTATATTCTTTTTATATTATTTGGTTTTCGTTGTTGTTTCTATTTCTTTCTTCTATTATTTATCAATTTTATATTCATTCATTCATTCTTTTTATTTCTTTTTTATTAATTCTTGAGTATTGTATATTTCTTTATTATTTCATTTATATATTATCAAAATATATGTTTTATTGATTTTATGTTGAATAAAATATTGAATAATTCAATATTTTCATTCTTGATTATTCATTATTTATTCTGAAATGTTGTGTATATTTATTATATTAAATGAATATGATGAATGAATATCAATATTATTGTTTATTTGATTTTAAAAAAAAATAAATGAATATGAAATAATAAATGAAATAAAATAATGAAGACAATGAAATGATAATGAAATAGAATAATCTAATATTGAACAAATCAAATAAAGAATATATTGAATATATCATTATTGTTACTTTATTATTTGTTATTTCAATTATTAAATATTAATAAATTATTATTCATGAATATTTAATTGATTATTATTTTACAATTTCATTTTCATTTTATTTAATAAATGAAATATAAATAATAAATGAATGAATAATAATTTAATATATGAAATAATAAAAAGAAAGATAAATAATAAAGAAATATGATGTATTTAATATATAATATAATTTATTATCAAATATATTAATAATATCAAATGATGAATTATTTTTATTTCAAAATATTTTGCATCAATAAAATATGTTGCTAAATATTTTGCATCATTAAATTTTGCATCATTAAATTTTGCACTTTTTTTATTTGTTTCAATAAAATTTGCATCCTTTATTTTTTTCATTCTTTTCTTCTTTTATCATCTCTTTTGTTTTATTACACTTTATCTTCTTTCTTTTTATATTCTCTCCTTTCTACTTTTATTCTTTCTTCATCTTCTTCTACTTTTTACTTTCTTTTTATTCTTTTATATCTTTCATTCTCTTCTTTTTCAATTATTTGCTTTTTTCATTGCCATATTATTCTAGTCACTATAACAATAATATAAGATGAAGAAATAAAAAAAGTACTAAACTAAGTTTCAATAAATATTGATTTTTCTATTTAATTTTAGTTATTAAGACTATTTCATTAACTCTCTTCAGAGTCTTCTTCATGAGTTATTTTTATATCTCTATATTCACCTTCTTATTCACCAATTTATTTCATTAATTCTTTCATTGTATCTTTTACCTTTATTTACTTGCAATTATAATGTTTTATTCTTTGATTATTCTTATTGTTTTTTATCGGCTATTCCATTTATTGTCATTATTATTTAAATTCATTTTATTTTAATCTATTAGTTTGTCTTATTTTGTGTTGATGAATTTTATCTCTTTCTACTTTATTAATAAATTCAATATTTATTGTTGTTATTTTATCATTACAAATATCACATCATTTCATTTACTATTTGGTGTTATTATTAATTTGTTCATTCAGAGAAATATACAACTTTCTTTCATTAATTCACTTGTTTATATTCATTTCTTTTAATAGTAATATTATTCATCATTTTATTTGTTATTTTCTTATTATTTCATTATCATAATATCATTATTATTTCACTACAACTTCTTGGTTATTCTCATAATAATATTGATTAAATATTCTACTTGTATTTTGGTATTTGTGGTAATATTAACTGTTTTATTATCATTATGTTTGAATGAGAATTGATTATGGTGATAATAATTATGATAAAATGTAATAAAGTGATTATTGTTATTATTTGTTTGATAATGTTGATGAATATAACAGTGATAATGCCATATAAATCCATTTGTTTGTGTATATCATTTCTATGTAATTTTCATTGTATGTTGTTAATTTAGAAATGAATATCATACGAACAAATAAATAAAGCAATTAATTAAGTATTAATAGAAATAGCTTCTATTCTTCCTGGCTCAGGGGAGACTAATCCCGTCCCTTCGTCTTCTTCTTGTAGCTCTACTGAGTATGTTTGATTGTGATCTCCGCAGTATTCCATGACATTCATCATGTTTTTTATGACAAGATTTTTAATTTCTTTTTCGATGTCGATCTCAATTTTTAATTCTTTAATTAATTTAATACTTTCTTTATTTATTAATCCATTTATTGAGATTACTACTGGATTTATTCTGTCATCTTTTAATTTTTCTATTTTCATTAGAATATTCTTTAATTCCTTATACTTATTTCTTTTCTTCCAATAGGCTCAATTAATATTGTGATCAGCCACAATAGTCATATCAAATATTAGACCAGTTTTGTTCTTTTTATCTATTACATATATATCTGATATTTTGTGATATTGTCCATCACTTTTAGGCAATATTTGTTTGTTCCATATCATTGTGATGTCTTTATATTGGAACATTGTTTCATATGGGGGTTTTTATATTGATTATTTCCAGTGTATTTTCTTATTAATCAATATTATAATGCCAATATTGTCATGTTTCTCCATTTGTGATTTTTTATGATAAATACAAGATAGTAGAATGTGTTCTACTGTAGCTATCTTGTCTTTACAAAGTGTTGAGTATCTCAATCTTTCATTTTTCATTATTTTTGATTTTCTATACACACAAAATATTGCTCCATCTTGCATTTTAGTTAATTGTAGAAATGCATTTTTCTTAATATTGATTGACTTCCATGCTTTCACTGTAGTAGTTTTATCTACTCATTTTGACTCAAACCATCTTCTGAAGTGTCCGCTTATTTGATGGCACTTCAATTTTTTGATGTATTTATCATTAATTTCTTTATTTCTACTACTTCTTTTTCTTTTTTCTTTTC